TCTGCAATGCTGTTCTGCGAAGAAATTCCGGTTTTCTCCAGAGCTGCTCGCGGAGAAATCATGAAATGATCCAAGACTTGTCCGAGAATAAATTCCAAACTTCTGCAGAGCTAGCGACGAAATCTTGCAGTTTTTGCACGTGTTGAAGTTTACTTGCTTGAGTGACAAGTGGCTGCCAAGTGGCTGCAAGTGGCTGCAAAACCAAAATTCAAAATGTACGTCATTTGCTCGCTCTCTGGAATTTTGCAAAGAAGCGGCAGGAGACGTCCAGATTGTCATTCAAATGAAGTCCTTCAAAGGATGGGCTTCAAGACCAACAGGATTCGCTCGAGAAAGGAAGTGCAATGGTTTTTTGACGGGTGGATGCAGCAGACGTTCAGCTTACCACGGCAAAAGATCGTGAGGATTGCCTTCTTCACCTCAAACAGCTCTGGACACTGCATGCCGAGGAGACGGCTGCGATTTCTTAAAACCCATCATCACAGTCTGACCCAGGTCCAAACCTGGTCCTGAAAGCCTCCTTGAGTCATGAGTAGTGTTTTCTGTATGGCCCACTCCAGTATTTCCTGAGGTCAGGAACTCCTGACCTGTCTCATGGGTTTCTGACACCAAGACCGGAGCACTCCGCTTGAGCAGAATCAGTGCTGTCCAAGTTCAGAGCCTTCAAATGCCCTGAACGTCATCGTAAGGATCCTGGATTCGGCATGGATTCTCAAAGCCGGTAAGGACGCCCCCAGTCAACCTGTAGAGCCGTCGGTAAACCAGTATCATATTATTTTAGAGAAAGGCCTTTACTAATATCATACACTCTAGTAGGGAATTGGATATACTGTACCCAAGTTTAGAACCTGGATTTTGGACCAATCACCCAAAATAGGATCAAAGTTCCCAACAAAACGATGGTCATGTATGATATACCATTGGGCTAGCAGACATTGTGTTCGTGCGCTTCCTCCTCCGTGTTTTTACCCTTTTGTCATGCCTTGGCTGGTCGCCTCGCCAGGGCAGTCCTGTTGAAGCCTTCCACTTCGCACGCAGCGACATCCATCGAAATGCCGAAAAACCTTCGGTTTATCTTGGAGCAACCCACAACGCAGGGCGGTCCCACAGGAATGGCGCCCTACACTCCGACCTCCCTCATGGCCGAAACAAAAACACATGGTAGAAAGCCCGTCCAACACGTGGGGGTCGGGCCGGCCCGTGCTGCATTTGCTGCAGGTGGCGATTGCCGAACCTTTGGCCAAGCCAGGGGAAACGGTGGTAAGCCCAAGCATTCAACAGATCCTGGGTGCCTTGGGCGCAGGAGACCGACGCGGCTCGTTGTTGCGCAATGCGTTGTTTGCGCCATCTGACGGAGGTTTTTCGACCTGACATCAACTGAAAACAGAATTCAACATTGGGACTCAAAAACAAGATGAACAGCTTGACTAGGTGACACTCAAAACCAAAAGGCGGAAAGCTGAATCAACCTTCCAGCAGTTACATGGAGGCCAGGGTGCTATCCATGGAGGAAGTCGGGGCAGAACATGCACGGCCCCTGGATGGGACTGTGACGAGCCACACCACCCTGGCCTCCAACACGCCCTGGAACTATTAGGATGTGGATAATATGGCCCCGTGGAAGACCATGAAATCAACCTGGTTTATCAGCCCTATGTTCTTTTTGGACACCGTGATCTCCGTCCTTGGTCCTCGTAGGATGTTTGCTGCTGGATGGATAGGCTGTTGGATTTGTTTGGGAAACTGGTTGCATGAAATCCATGGAGGCCATCGCTAGTATAGTAGCAAGAAGCTACTAGGGTGGAAGCCATCGCTACTCGGTTGGAGGCCATTACTAGTAGCAAGAAGCTACTAGATCTACTGATCGTTTCTCAAAAAGGGCCCAAGATCTGCTGAAGGGATACTTGGTTTTGCGGATAGGGTGATTTTTTGCATTCTTATAGTGGTGCATCCCTTCTGGTGATGTTGTTTGTTTCCCCGATTCCTTACGCCAATCCAAGGAAACCAGATGGCTAATGGGGCACCTCTTGTCACTCAGAAATTCTAAGATTCTTGCGGTGCACATCTCATCTTTGGTACATACCCTAGGGATCCACATACCTTCTCAGAAGGTACGACTGGGCCCTCCTGGCGCCTACATAAATAGTCTCCGTCCTCACCGTACCTGAGAAGGTGCTTGGATCCCTAGGGATACCGAAACCCCAGTACCCAGGTCAGGACTCGAAGGGCTGGATCGATCCCGCATCCCATGTGGGTGCTCAAACCCACTGCCTGGTCCGTCAGTGGACAACCGTCCCTGCATTGGTGTCCCCACTGATGAACCAATGTCTTTGGCCAAAAAGACATCGGTCAACCGATAGTGGACAAGCTGTGCGGCAGCCAGCAATCCCAAAGGGTCCCATTGATGGAGCCAGACCATGGATAGATGCTGAACTAGCAGACTTTGCTAAGCTGTTGGGCGTTTGATTCAGTCCTTGAAGACGTGGTCTTTCTTCTTCCCTGCGAATGGGGCCGCTGGGATTTGTGAACTGCCTTCGGGCGACAAAATGACGACCGTAGGTTGTTTTGTGTTGTTCCACCAGAGTCAGTCATACACCAAGACCTTCGACAGGTACGCCAGATGCGAACGGGTGGAAAGAGGTTAAGCTTTGTTTTCCGAGGGAAACTGAGGGGGTCTGACTGCAATAGCTTGGGCTGCAGGGAGGTCATGGCTTCAGAAGCAGCAAGCCTATTCACCCCCAGAAGACTTGGCTTACAAGTGGCTTTACATCATGGTTTGCCAAAAACTTTAGTGGGTGGTGGTTTCAGATATTTGTATTTTCAAGCTTCACTTGAGATGATTGATTTCACTGACTCACATTGTTGAAGCAAGTTGAAACCACCCCAAGGCAGTTCTATGCTTGTGTCAAACAGGGCCGGTGGTTTTCCATGTTGGTTCACCACGGCATCAAGCGGGCAGCACGGGGAGACACTGCAGGTCGACCGTACCATGACCGGTTCGGTAAGTGACCGGGACGACCGGTCGAGCACCTGCCATGCTGTTCTCATTGACCAGAGATGAATCCAATGCAGAATTCCGGTGAGAAGAACAATGTAGGCTGTTGATGAATTCTATACCCATACCCAAATACTCCATGGGACTGTTATCTATGCCGCTCCATTGACCCCTATTCAACTACCCCAATGTTTGTAGATATGATATATGCCAGTCCCAGATGGCGGTCGTGTTTGGGAGATGGGAATGGAACTCATCGGAGGGCCTGGAACTCGTCTTCGATCGAATCTTTGGCTCAGGTTCCAATGATTTCTTTTCCTTCCAGGTGCGATCGATGGACGATGACAGAAGGAAGTCGAGAATCTGAAACAAGAGTCCTACCCAGGAAGTCCGCGGATCAGGAGGATTAATGGGATTCGGCGCTGTGATTCTTCGAGCTGCAGGACAGCTTTTGGAGGGAATGGTGACGCCCCACATCCAAACCAGGCGGAAAGTTCGGTGAATCGTCATCTTGGTCCACAAAATCTTGGTAGTAACAAGAAGCTACTAGGGGCTCCTGGCATCGCTACTATAGGAGCATCCTGACTACTAGTAACAAGAAGCTCCACTTCAGTCGTGATCCATCGCAATTGTCCTGAACGTCTCTCTGAACGTGCTTGGGTTTGACAAGATACGGCAAGAGCGTCTGAGCTTAGCCGCAACTGAGTTTTTTGATAGGATGGTTTGTGAACCTCGTTGATTGAGTAGGCTTGCATATGCTTGCATGTTTCACCTGACGTGACGTGGAAATTATCGGTTCTTAGAACTTTGGACCCCACACAGGCGATTGCGACATGTTCCCCGGAATTCCAAGACGATTTCAGTCGTGACTCGGTCACCAGACATTTCCACCTCACATGCGGCACCTTCGACCGGCTTTCACCAGCGGCAGAGTGCCGTGAGCGGGCGGAAACCCGAGATCTCGAAGCCGATCATTCCAGATCTTAGAGTCCCAGCCGCTCCATGTATGCCATATATGCCGATCAGTTGGGGTGGTTTGGGGGATCAATGTAGGCATATATGGCAGTCCCATGGAGCGGCTGGGAGTTTCAATCACCAGATCGCGTTGTCTTTGCCTTCCAGACCAGACTTACGGTTTCTTCAGAACCCACCCGACAGGGATGCGAAGGGTCTTGTGCGAAACGAAGCGGATTGGTGTTTTTAAACCGGGGAAGATGCGCGCTGATCGGTGGACAAGCAGATTCAAGAATCGGACTCGTGATTCATTTAAAAAAGAACCAGGGCAGATACCTTAGGGGTGTCTCATTACCTGACAATCGGTAAACAATTAATCCTTATTTTGAGAAAGGTCTTTACGAACCATCATCCACTGGGCCCTGGGTGCTTGGGATATACCCAACACATACCGTTCCACTTCCAGTGTGGGGAGCTTTGGCTCGGCCCATCCGATGTGACTTCCAAGGGGGGCCCCGAACGGGGCCCTTCGGCACCCCGACATGAAACTGCCAATCCCAGACACGACCTGTCTGGGACTGCCATAGGACGACCTCAATTGACCCCCCTGGCACCCCTGGCCGTTTTGAAGGCAGTCCGGACTGGCAGTCCCCATGGAGTGTCGGGCAATAGGTCAGACTCAGGTATGTTTTTGCCTTGTTCTGCCTTCGAAGAAGCCGCAGGTGTGTCCTGGAGCTCCCGAACGGGAGGATGATGGTCCTAGCTACGCCTTGTTGCGCTGTGAACAACTTGATGTCAGTAGTCAGTCGATGACGGGGCAGGCACAGCAATGCAAAGCGAGAAAAGAAAAGAAACAAAGTCCAGAAAGAAAGAGAAAGAGAAAAAGACAGAGAAGCAGTAAATGAGTGCTTGAAATACCATACCACTTCCATGTTGTCTTACTTGAAGCGACAAGTGAGCGCTGCGTCCGCTCCGCTCGCCAGGGACGCAGCCGTGCCACGCTCCAACGTTTGGAGCGGCCCTTGGATGCCAAGGTGGTCCAGAGATATGTGCCCTACGCCGTCAGGAGGAGACGAGACGGATGAGATCGGCTGAGTGGTGCAGCAAATATATGACTCAGAATTCACAAGTCATATGACTCAGATATAGGTACAAAATGGTACAAATCAATATCTCAATATATGACTCAGATAATATAGAATTCACGCGTTTCCAAGTGGGCATGTTCGTTTTGTTTCTCTCTATTTGGGTGTCTATAGGGAGACTACGGACCGTGTCGGTCCATGACGGTGTTAGATCGATTGGTTGGATGGCGCCGTGGATGTTTAAACCGGAACGGTGTTGGATGGCCGTTGCGGTCAGGATGGAATCATGTCACGGTGCTTTTGTTCCCGTCGTAGAATTCGGCCAATGAGATCTTTGGATGTAAGCTCTAATTGAATTCCTGTAAATAAAAGGTTTGCCCCTGGAACTAGTTTTAAAAAAGCAACTCCACACCCGGAACTGGAACAGTTGTGGAAACAAAAACTGAAACCAACAAGCTCTCGTAATGATCCTCCACCAGGTGGGAGCTTGGCTAGAAGGCATCAACTGGATGTGTTAACCTTTGGGTCCCTGACATCAAATCAAGGGGACCTCATTGTAGAATGAGGGACATGCTTTGATGTTCGTGTCCATGATCGAAAAAAACCAACGAGTTGACACAGTTGACACATCAAACTACCGTGGTCCCCCCAGACAGCTCCGCCCTGCTGGTCCGACATCGGTGCGTCAGTGGATCGGACGAAGTCGCTCGGGCGGGTGGCAGGAAACTCAAAGAGCAGTCGGACGCTTGGAGCAATCGGCAGTGTTTGACCATGTTGATCCAATTGCGGTGTTTCACTGTCAACATCATCGGCTCAAGGGTCAAGGGGTTGGGAAGTTGGTGATGGGAAATCCCTTCAGCTTTTTGTTTGCATGGCGAATCCGAGTCTTTGCAGTTCAGACCTGCGATAGTTCAGTCTTGGTCTGTACTCGTAGAGATCCGTGGAGACACAGGTATTGGATATGGTTGTGTGATCCAAAGGGTAATGATAAGCACATTATGGCACAAAAGTTCTTCCCAAACGCTCCGAACGACCCTTGGTCTCTCAAAACCATAGTTGTTCATACGTAGGTTCGGGTCCGACCCCTCCATAGGTTCGGGTCCATGAGCGTTTGGGTTAGTCCGAATCTTGAGGCTATCAACATCACCATGAAGGTGACCTGAAGGCGTTTCGTTCTCGGAGGCGTATCATTTGAGTCCGCCGAGCCTTTCTGCTTTGCACCGGGACTGAGATTAGAGGAGCTGCAGAGTGACTTGGGGGGACAGGAAATTCCAGAAAGTCCGGTCCGTGACCATTCATGTACGGAAGAGTTACAGACATTGGGGACTTGTTGATGGGGCAAATGATGGTTATTTCATACATCCCAGACACGACCTGACTGGGACTGTCTGGGCATGAAGTGCCTCGGAGTGGCCGCTATGGACGGAGCGGTACAAACGGTGGACGGTGCGTGTCTTCAGAGAACCGCGCTGCGCTACTTACCTAGTCGGTGGCTGAGGTCGCAAAAGCTTCGTGGAGCAAGTGTGATGCGCGGCTCACCAGTCTCTCTGAACTTGAGGCTGTGAGAGCTGACCCACTTCGGTTCATCCGTGAGCACCTTCTCCAAGTCTGTCCGGATCTCAAAGATGAGGTGTCCTTCTGCGCGTTGAGAGTGGGCAAGCGTGCCACGGCTGGGAAGGACCAGCCTCAATTTCAGTGCATTGTGAAAACGCCCAAGAAACGTCGCCAGACCCTTCTTGAAGCCAGTGGACACACTGTCGTCTTAGTTCGTGATTTTCTTGATCGCAGCGACAACAAGTCAGATTTGTCAGTTGTGCCCAAATTTTGGCAACCCACTGCCCGCGAGCTTGCTGATGCCAGGATTGTTCTCCAAGGAGTGACCGGGTGCGCGGGTTTGGCTTTGACCCGCCGTGGACTTGCACCCCGCGCGTGGGACAAGGGGATCGAAGCTGTGCGCAGAGCTGTCCTTCCAACGGACGCCAGGCTCACTAAAGACAACATGTCAGTCGTACCGAAGGTGCAGTTTCAGTCAACGGGGTGGCCGGCGGCCATTGAGCCGGCTTCGGTTGTTTCGTGCACTTTGGCAGCGGTTGGATTGGCACCAGTCCCCTCGAAGGCCTTCCGGTCAGGAGGAGTCCACGGATGGATTTTGGGTTTCGCCTCTGTTCCCAGTGTCCTGAGGTTCACGCTCGACATTAACACTTCGACCTACGAAATTTTGTTGGTCGAGGAGGACAAATCCTTCAAGCCAAGACCTCAGGGGCGACCACTTGGGCGTCAGCAAGGGAAGCCAGGAGAGCAGGCTGGACATCCTGGACCAGGGAGCAAGACTGACCTCCTTCCCAGTTCCCGGGTGCCTACGGTGTCTGTCCAATCGCATGATACGCATCGCCTGCAGGCCCTTGAGGCGCGGTTTGACAAGCTGGAGTCACGTCAGAATCGAATGGAGGAGAAGGTTGACTCCCGGTTTTCAGAAATCTCGTCATCACTTTGCCAACTGCTCAACGCTGCTGGCAGTCATGCTCGAGAGCCTACGGGCGAGACCCCGGCTCCGAAGCACCAGCGCCACGACAATCAGCTGTGAAACAAAGGGGCGGTGCTCTCTTGGACTTTTGCCTTTCGCTGCATGATCCCTATGTGTCTGCGTGTTGGCTTGGCTATGCTGGAAGCTCCTGCTCTTTGTCTTGCTTGGCCATTCGGTGTCTTTACTGCAGCTGGCTTGTTCTTGGCAGTACCGCCCTTGTTTTGGGGTGCAATGCTCTGTCATTGCCTTTTTCTCCAATCCTGCGTCGTTCAACGTATGCAATGCCTGCTTGAGCGACTTGTCTCTTTCTGTGTGCCACATGCATCACAATGTCCTTTGCACACCATGTCTTTCGTCAATCGATGGCATAAGGTCGTCCTGGACTTAGTGTGGAGCTTCTTTGCATGGTCCTCAATGCCGAAGCCTATTCTCGGGTATTTCGTCATCTCTTCGTTAAGGTGCTTGTTTCGTGCTTTCAGCATTCGTGGCCATCACTTCGGAGTGCATTTTCAATTATAGACGTGAAACCAAGCCTTTCGTGGTGCGGGAAAACGATTGCCGTGCCGCCTTGCATGTTCAGGGTTCCTAGAGGTTGCCCGTCGAATCCATGGCATGATTTCGATGCTACTTTGGATTTCCCAGGGGAGGGACCTGCCTTTCATTCCCAACCGGATTGGAGTTTGTGCACGGCCAATATCGGCAGTCTCAGGACTTCCAACATTTGGAAAGGGGCTGAGGATGTTGTGTGGTGCCTTCAAGAGACCCGCATTGGCAAAAACAATGTTAGAACCTCCTCCAAGTTGGTCCAAGAAACGGGGCGTTCCCTTTTTTGTGGGCAATTGATGTCGGGGATCATCAGAGCCAATGGAGTTCACACTACGATGCCTGGACGGACTGCGGTTGTCGCCTCCGACATCCACACTCGCCCTTTCCTTCCGGAGCACGATGCCACGGGTAAATACAAAAGTGTGTTCGATACCAAATGAGCTAATGCCGTGTGGACCCAAGTCACTCCTTCGGTTAGGCTCTGATTTTTTCGGTGTATGCGAAATCAGGTGCTTCCGCGTGTTCCGAAACCTTCAACCAGAAAGACCTCTTGTTGCAGGATGTGTTTGAAATCATTTTTCAATTCGGTGACATCCCTGTCATCTTGGCCGGAGATTTTCAGGTTGAGCCGTCCAACTACCCCTCGGTTGCAACTGCGATTCACTTTCATAGGTGGCAAGACCCCTTGGTTCAGGTCGATGAAGATGGCAACTTGTTTCGTCCTTTGACTTTTTCCAGGGATGGTACATTCACTGGACATGGTGACTACTGCACTTCCATTGATGCCATTCTGGTTAACCATGTTGCCTTTGCGGCTTTGAAGTCCATTCAGGTTCTTGCCGTTCTCGATGTGCAGCACCGACCGATTCGTGCCACATTTAATTGGGAACCTATCACACAGTGTGGGGATGTTCATGTTAAATTTGCTCCTTTAGACACGAGTTCCCTTCCTCACCCAAACCATCCTGACGCTCACGGTGTCAATGAGAGAGCCCAGACTCGCTGGTCGGAACTGTTTGCTTCCTGTTTTTTGGAATCTCAAGATGCTTCATATATGTGGCAGCTTGTCAATCAATTTTGTGTTGAAACCCTCACGGATGAAGGGGCTTCTTGGGGCTTCTTGGGGCTTTGGCAAAAGAGCAAGGGGTCAGCTTCCTGTCTTCATGCGAAAAAAGGTTTGCCCTGGTCAACTTCCGTCGGGTATTGCCAAGACCCTCAAAGGGTCCAAAATCTTCAACACTTTGCAGCGGCTTGCTGAACTTTTCACTAGGGCCCAGAGATTCTCCAACAAACCGTGTGATCGGCAAATTTTTCACCGTACTGCTAAGCGTGTTTGTGCTGCATAGTGAATTGCAAACGCCTTTCCCCTGGGATGTTCCTCATTTGCCGTCCTTGGTTGAGATCTATGCCAACTGGACGTGGCTTTCTGCCCGAGCATCGGAGTGGGAGCTCCAGAAGAAACACCAGAGAATTAATGCTTGGAAAACCAAACTTCGTCAGTCTGCCACCAGCGACTGCAAGTACATTTTCCAACACCTCAAAAACAAAGCCCGTATAGTGTTGGATCCTCATGGAAATATAGTCTGTCACCCGAGGGAGGCCATGGACTTGATTTCTCAGACGTGGGACTCAGTCTTTAGTGCTAATGTCCTTCACGATGAACCGGTTGAAATGCTTGGGGTAATTTGGCCGTACATGGATCATCACATTGAACCCTTCTGTCTCCCTCCGCTCAGTGGAGATGACATTTTCGAGACCATCCAACAGAGAAAGGTTCATGCCGCGCCCGGTCTTGATGGGTGGCGCACCTCCGACCTTCAAGCACCGCCCAAAGCATGCTGCGATGTTATTGCCGCTTGGTTCAATCATCTCGAGTCGAGTACTGACTATGACCTCCCACAGGTCCTCACACGAGCTAAACAGGTATTCCTTCATAAACCAGGACCCCCTGACCCACTTAATAAGCGCTTGATTACCGCGTTGTCACCTTTGATCTTGGCTTTTACAGGGTCCCGATGTCGTCATTTGCAGAGATGGCAACAGGAGGTCCTTCCGAAACAGTTGTGTGGTGGTATAGCCAACCGCACTATGTCCTCCATCAGTGTCGGCTTGCGAACTGAGATCGACCTTGCGGTCGCCCATGACAAACCGCTGGTTGGAATCAAGCTGGACCAGTCCAAGTGCTTTGATCGCATCCTTCCCCAGTTTGCTGCGGCTTTGTTCCTTGCCTTGGGTCTCCCCAAAGTTGTTGTGAATTTGTTCCTCAAACTCGATCAAGGTCTTGCCAAGCACCTTTCCTACCGGGGATGGGTTTCTGCCAGGGCGGTCACATGTGCCAACGGAGTCGCGCAGGGCTGTAGCTTTTCGTTGTTGGCCATCAATGTCTACATGACTGTTTGGGTTAAATTTATCGAAGTCATTCCGCATGTCGTGGCTCGAGTGTTCATTGACGATGCATACCTGTGGGTTCGGGTTCAACATATTGCAAATCTCCAACTTGCTCTTGGTATCACCGAGCAATGGACTGACTTGTTGGAGCAAAAGCTTAACGCGTCTAAGAGTACCCTGTGGGCTACCACTAAGCATGCTCGTTCGCTTGCCAAAAACACCTTTCCGGCCATCCCTTTGTCTTGTGAATTTGATGTGTTAGGCACGAAAATTTATACCTCCA